CAAGCTTCTACACACTCAAAACAAAGCAAATAAGCCTGAATAATAAATTCCCTTTTCTTCTGACCAACCCAGTTTAAAATACCATAGAATGTATTAATACTGGAAATCTCAACCAATAATCTGAAACTATCAATAAGGTATTAGACTTAATCAAAGAACCACACTTTTTAAAATACAAAACATTAACCAAATTAAATTTTACTTAAAAATCAAGAGACTGAGCTGGGTGTGGTGGCAGATGCCTGCAATTTCAGCAATTTGCCCATAATCCCAAATTTCTAACACCTCTCATTAATGAGAAATTATTAATCCACAATGGATTAATCTAATGGTGTCAGAGCCTTAAAGATACTTCCTAAAACCCCCAGCAACTTGGAATGCTGAGGCAGGAACCTCACAAGTTTGATGCCAGCCTGGGCAACTTGGCAAGACCTAATCTAAAAATAAAAATAAAAAGGGCTGAAGATGCAGCTCAGTAATTGGTAAAGCACACCTGGATTTAATTCCCAGTAGCAAAAAAACAAAAAACTACAAGCACTAAGATTATACAACTACAATTATACTTATTGAGTAATATCCACCAGATCCTTATTCTTCCATCTTATCTGGCCTGGACTCCCTTCAGGCTTGACCCTGTTAACTGCAGCTTGGCCTATAGAAAAAGAGGCACAGAATAATCTACTGGCTTAATACTGAAACATGTAGGTGACAATTAACATCTACTCAAGCATTCACACATCATATTAGGGTCACGTAAGCAGGTCACCATCACTGATCAAACCTCAGAAAGCATTCTGAAGAATCTGTTGGGACAGAGAATTCTTCCAAGCATAAGACTACATGTTTGGCAAGACAAGGCTAACATACTGGTCTGGTCTGGGAATGAAATGGACATTATTTTTCAGTCAGGGTTATGAGTGCACCTTCGTATATATCATTATTTTTCAGTCAGGGTTATGAGTGCACCTTCGTATATATCACAGTGATGTGAGACAACTCTTGCCCTCAGGAAGCCTATAATTCATTTGGAGAAACAAAAACAACATTTCAACAAATGCAGAACTATAATCCAAGAATTACAAAGAAAAAACTCAAAGGGCAGAAGTTTGATCCTAGCTGAAGGTATGAAGTTGTTCTTTACATTCTATGGCTACTAGGTTACTATGTAGTAGGCATTTGCTTTGATTAGATGAGGAACAGTGCATGTTAGGTCAGCAACAGCCAAGAATCAACTTGAGTGAAAAAGAAAAGCAACAAGTAGGTTGCTGTTTTGACTCAAGTCCATCAAATTACCTGGGCAAACAGGGAAAATTAAAGAAGCAATTGGTATCACATTTGCTCAGAAAGACCTCACTCAACTTGGGGGGGGGGGGGGTAGTTTCTACTATACTGTGTAAAGTCAACAGAGACCAAGAGTCAAAAACTTTTTTCTTTTTACTGGGATCTCTGTCATTAGAAAGTCAATTTCACTGCAACCACAAACCAGAACAGGGATAAATGTGGTCAATAATAAAATTCCTCTGAAGTTTTTCTAAATATGATTAACAAGCTTATTCAGTAGGACATGTGAAAAAGTTTCTGGCATATTGATGCAAAAATCTTTAAAAATTAATTTAACAGATAAAATTTGTGCCCACTACCAATTAAGCAGCAATTTCTACCTATAAAGTGCTATATTTCATATCTTCAACCTACCTTATAGATGATGACCACACCATGGTGAGAAACTGCATTTTTTTAATGCAACTTTGTAAAACTGACAATATCTAGTACTTATTTAACACTATGGCTTTTTTCACAGCCATTGTTGGGTCTCAAAACCACCCAGTAAGGTAAAAGAGTAATTATCCATCCCCATTTTATAGATAAAATAAATGGAGAGCAGATAGGGAAGTGATTAGCTCAAGGTCACACTGGCAGTGTGTGAATTTCCAAGGCATAGATGTGTCTTCTTTGCTAGGATAAGGTTCTTAAAATAGATCAGAAAACCTCATCTAAATAACATAAATATAGTAATCTTAAAAGTTAAAGTGGAAAAATAAACATTACTCAAAATTTACTTTGCTAGGTGAAAGCACTGGATTTTTACCCTAGTCTAGCATCCCAGTCATTTTAAAAATATTTTACTATAGTACCTTGTGGAACTCTAAATACCAGAAGAGTTCTCAAACTTTTGGATAATTGGGAAAAAAAAAAAAATACCTGATCACAGACACAAATTAAATAGTAAATGTCAGCTGAGTGGACTTAAAACCTACCCATTCCTGAAAAAAGGGGAAGCAGATGGAAACAATGATAAATCTTAATTACGGTTTACAATTCTTTTTGGATATTGGTACTTTCATGGAAAAGCAGACATACACAAAGCCCACAAGCCCAACCATGTTGATGTTCTCTTAAGCTTTAAGTAAATGAAATGTAGAAACTCTCTAATCGCACAAAATTAGAAACCCACACCAGTTCTGTATTGGTGGGGCTAAACAGGGCACAAGGAGTCAATAAGAAATTGTGTTTCAGCCAGGCACGGTGGCGCATGCCTGTAATACCAGCAGCTCAGGAGGCTGAAACAGGAGGATTATGAGTTCAAAGCCAGCTTCAGCAATGGCAAGGCGCTAAGCAACTCAGTGAGACCCTGTCTTGAAATAAAATACAAAACAGGGCTGGAATGTGGGTCAGTGTTCAAGTGCCCCTGAGTTCAATTCTCAGTACCAAAAAGAAAGAAAGAAATTGTGTTTATTTCAAAACTTAATATGTTTACGCCAACATTTAATACTGAAGTCTTTGCATGGTATAAAACTCCCTACAATTTATTGTCTCTAAACCTATGGTAACTCCACTCTCCTCACTCTAACTGTCCCCACACATCCAGTAGATGCGACACACACACAAGGCCTCACACACAGGCCTCCTGCCTTTTTTTTTTTCCTAACACAACTAGGACCTTTGTTCCCAGCGTCCGTTTTTTACCCCACTCAATAGCTCTTTCAACTTTCTATCACGTATTTTTGTCTTGTTTTTAAACGAGATTCTAAGCCTCAACTTGCCAGGTCTTTAAATGAAATGCCAAAAATATCTAATGAGACTCTCGAGAGGAATAAAAGTTAAACACACATTAAAGGGCCTACAAAACGGAGGAAAGCCTGGAGGTCGGGTGATTTGGCAGCCCAGGAAAGATAGGGAGAGCCGACTAGTACGCGAGGCGGCAGGAGGACAGTCAGACATCCAAGCGCAGTCAGCAGCCCACCACCACGCACACGTCCACACCGTCCCTCCCCCAATTCAGTAACGAAGCGGTTCAACCATCCCCATCGCCAGGCGCGACGCTCCAGCTCAATCTCCCCCACAGTAAAACCGCATTCTTCAAAACAAGCCTGTCCTGAGGGTTTGGAAGCTGCCCCTTCCTCCCCTCACCACAGGAGCTCAAAGGTGTAAGTTATCACCCTCCCAATTTGCACGAGCTTTACATTTAAGATATTCTCCCTTCTAGCGAGTCCAGCGTTTCTGAGGAATCAAGAGGGGGGGCCCCCCCGGGCGGGGGGGGGGAGCATAGGGTCAGGCATTCGCAGCCCTCGTTACTCCGACTCCCCCTGACTTGTCTCTGTACTAGCGCCCCGCTCACTTCGGGGCAGGAATGAAGACGGGGCACACACGACGGGCAGACATCATAACAGGTTTTATGTAATCCATATATAAATTAATCGCCTGAGTCTCTATGAATGTAATGCGACTGAGGTGACAATTGGCCCACCTCCCTCCCCAAGCCCTAGTTAACCTCCCCACCCACCCACCCACTCCCAGTCCCATCAATCTCTACGGATATTGCTCCCTTCCTCTCAGCCAAGTTTCTCGGCCTTTTCCATGCCCGCCACCAACCCTCACGTCGTCACCCTTCCTCAGCCCCAACTTCCCACGGCTAAAACAACTGCCCCGCGCAGCCCCGGCTCCGAGCTCGCCCGCCCCCAACCGTCCCCCCGGCAGGAAACCCCTTACTGCGGTCTAAAGTCACTCCGGCCTCTCCCTCCTCTGACCCTCGCTTCCCACAACTGTTGTCACTCGAGCTGCTCCCTAGTTTCCATTTCCGGGCCGTCCCCGGCCCGAAGCCTCCCCTCTCCCGGTTTCCGGGCCCCCAGTCCCATTTCCGGGGAACCCTTGCCGTCTTCACACCCCCCACCTGCACTTCCGGCCCCCCACTTTCTCCCTTCCTAGACGCCCTCCAAGCTCCAAAGCCCACTTCCGGCCCCCCCCAATCCCCGCTGGGCTCCCCAAGACCCACAAGCCTCACCCCGATTCCGTGAAGGTCCCTCCTCATTGCCGGGGGCCGGAGGGGGGACCCAGCGACCCCGCCCCGCTCCCGCCGGCCCCGGTCCCTCAGGCCGCTGTCTTCCTCGAGCGCCTCGCCCGTCAACCCCTGGGCCGGTCCTTCCGCGGCCCAGCCGCCACCGCCAAGAGCAGGCCCAGCGGGGGCCGAAACGCGGCGATGACACAACCGGGCTTCCTGGGACTTTCTGTTCCAGCTCCTCCCCCCCGTCATCCCCCACCCCTCAGTACGGCCCCCTCCCCCCAAGCCTGCCCCAGCCGCTCAGCACTGCTCCCCAATTACCTAGTTAGGCCCCAAAGTCTCCGGTCCGGACTCGGTGGCGCGGCAGTAACTTCCACTCGCTCCCCCCACCCCCCCCCGGCGGCGGCGGCTCCTCTGGTCCCTTCAATTATCAGCTGAGCCGCAGCACCGCGCCCGGCGTGCGCCTCCGCCCGCGCCGCCTCTCCCCGCCCGTTCCAACACCCTCTGGGAACTACTTTTCCCCTTGGCCCCTGCTCGCTGGAGCGTCCGCGGGACCGGTCCCGCTGCCTACTCGGGGGCCATCACATCGCCCCTCCCTCCTCAGGTCTCGGATCAACTCCCCAAGCGGCCTCAGATCTCCTCCCGATCCCTTCGAGGGACCAGGAAGGGGACTGTGGGACTCCGCTTGGTATCCCTCCGCCGGGGTCACCCCCTCCCCTCTGTGGTAGCAGGAACTAATTCCCCTTCGGGTCACCCAAGACCTGGACGTGGAAATTTCACGGACCAGGGTTCCTTGTGACCCTTGGAAGAAGAAACGATCTCTCCGAGTTAGAAACACCCCTGCCAGCTCAAAAGCGTGATTCGGTTTAAACTAGGGCTTTGGCCTCCTGACCCCAATCAAGCCCCGCCCCTTCCTGGTTGTCTTAGCGACGGCGGTGGCGTCCCAAGATGGCGTCGTGGTTGCCGGAGACACTGTTCGAAATTGTAGGACAAGGCCCGGCGCCGAGCAAAGACTATTATCAATTATTGGTCACCCGCTCTGAGGCAAGTGCGAGCCGCGGTTTACTCTCTCTCCTGATCCCCTAAACGGCCGGGCTGGGGCCTGGAAGGTGGGCCGCGCCAGGCCGAGAGCGACCGTGGCCCGCCGGAAGCGCCCTGTCCCAGCTCGGAGTCAGAGATTTCCCTCGTCACCTCGGCCCGGCGGCCCTCGTGTCCCTTCTCTCCCCCAGCCCGGCTCGTCCGCGAGCCTTTTCTGCCTCCCCACAATGCCGCCCGCTCCCTTCCCGCCTCTCTGGCTTCCTACCCGCAGCGTTCCCTCCGCGCGCAGAGAAAAACAGGCGTCTCCAGCTTGCGTGCCGCCTCACCTCAGCGTGGGAAGAAGGGAAAGAAAGACTCAGCCAAGTGTCCCAAGGAGGAGCCGGCAGGGGAGGGGAGAGAGGGACGGTCTCTTTCGCAGGGTAGGACTTAACTGTGGGGAATTTGACGAAATCTCACGGTGGCCTTTACGAGTACCACGGCCACGTCGGGACTTGCTCATTCCTAGCAGGAATGGGCGATTGGGAGTCCTCCCCTTACCTTTTGGAGCCCCTTCTATCCCATTGAAAGTGTGCGGGGAGCGGGGGGTGGTTCAAAAATGTTTCGGCTGCTCGGCGCGTCAGCCCCACCCATAATGACATCTGCTTCACAACAATAAGACCGAGGATTATGTTCTCGCTGGAGTAGAGTAACTATCGGCCTGTTTTTATGACTGCTTTAGTTATTAAAGGTGGGCTTTTGGGTGATTTGTTATGCTCATGAAATGATCGACTTGAGCTGGTTTCTGATTCCTGGACTGTCACTGAGCTCTTCATGCACTTTAAATAGATAATAATCCCTAAAAAGAAATTTAGAGATACACACACACACACACACACACACACGCACGTTTGGGTGTGGATATTGATTATGCCTTAAGTTTTCCTAGAAGCCTCCCAAAAGAGTAATTTTTCTTATATCTTTTAAAATAGAGGTAATAATATTTACATATTTTTAAATGATTTAGAAATATTACAAGCATAATATCAGTCAAATTTTTTTAATTTTTACATTTTTTTCAAATAATTTTTACACACTTATTTCGCAGTTTCTTAAATGTTGAAATGTACCCTATTCTGAATATTTTTAGAAGGATCATTGACTTTTCCATTGGCTTTGAAGAGATATGATCCTAATAATTCACTTTCTGGGATAAGTGATCAAAAACGTAATAGTATCTTCTAATCCTACGTGATTTTTATTTTCATTTATTGAAAGAAAATTAGAATGTTCTAATTTTCACTTTAGAGTCATTTCCATACCCTTTAAAATTTTTGTTTTTTGAGTATTTTTTTTTTCTTGAGGGCCTGGTATCACAAGTGTGCTGTACACTCTGATGTTGTAAGCCTCCACAAGTTGAGGCTGTTTACCTTTTAATTTTAGTAAATTCATATTGAGAGAGCTGTTGGCATTCATTTCACTCCAGAATGCTTCTACTGTTGGTATTCTTCAGATTTGTTCTTTAACTTGAGCACAATTCTTCCTCTACTCTGTTTTATGAAAGCTTCCCTCTTGCTCCCTCAATTTTTCTTTCTTTCTTTCTTTCTTTTTCTTTTTTTTTTTTTTTTTTTAATACAGGGTCTTGCTAAGTTGCACAGGCTGGCCTGGAACTCTTGCCATCCTGCCTCATCCTTCTTGAGTCACTGGGATTACAGGCATGTGTCACCTCCCCTGGCTCCTTTATATTCTTAAATTAAAAAAAAAAAATTAACAGATCAAAAACTCTTCTTTATTTCAGGTCCTCTTCTGTCAATGACTTATGTATAAAATGCTTTTGAAAATCTGATCTATAGCTGGGCATGGTGGCAAATGCCTATAATCCCAGCAACCCAGTTGCTGATGTAGGAGGATGGTGAGTTCAAAGCCAGCCTCAGCAACTTTATGAGGCCCTAAGCAATTTAGCAAGACCCTGTCTCTAAATAAAATATTTAAAAAGGGCTGAGGATGTGGCTCCTTAGTTAAGCGCCCCTGGATTCAATCCCTGATTCCCACCCCTCCCCCTGCCAAAATAAAATCTAATCTGTTATCTTTTTTGGGGGTGGGGAAGGTACTAGGGATTGAACTCAGGGGCACTTGACCACTGAGCCATATCCCCAGCCCTATTTTGTATTTTATTTAGAGACAGATTCTCACTTGCTTGGTGCCTTTCTGTTGCTGAGGCTGGCTTTGAACTCTCCATCCTCCTCCTCTGGCTGCTGGATTACAGGGGTGTGCCACTGCGCCCAGCTCTGGTCCAGTAGATACTGAATAGCATAGTGAATAACCTCCCACAGTTCTACCAATGAGAGTTAATCTCAAATCTGGTTAATTCACCCTCATTTTAAAGTAGAATTTGTTGTAAAAAAAAAAAAAAAAAAAAAAATAGCAAGCCAAAAATATACTTTTCACTCAACTATCTTGAGAGTATGCTATTTTCAAACCACAAGATGATTTTTTCCAAGTCTGAGTACAGGAAACTCAACATTCAGTAAAGAGGTGGTCTGACATAAATAAGTACTGAACAACTGGAATTAAATGATCTTATAAAATGGACTTCCTTAAATTGTTGCTTGAATATTTCTCTCCCTTCTCTTCTGACTATTCCACAAATGTTTATTATCCAGTATAAGCTCTAAATTTAAATGGATCTTGCCTTAATGAAGATTTCTTTCTGGTTTTTTTTTTTTCTTTTTTGGTCTGTTGTTCACTGCATTTGTTATGTTGTTGTTGGCTTTGAATCCAAATAACTGCACATTTGACATGCATCTGAGGGCAAATATCCCATCCATGTCATATGTATTTGAGGACAGATATCTCATTTGTGTCATTTATGTATATAACATTAGCATGGTCCAGAGCATAAATGTTACATGTAAATATTTTCTTTGTCTTCTTGCTTGTACAAGTAACAGTAAAGAAATATAGTTTTATGCTTTCTATTAACAATTTGATGCCATGTTGATTTTTGTGGGCATTTTTTGCTTTGTCAGAAAATTGACTTTAATTATATAGCTTGAGACCAAGATCTGATTTTTACAACAATGATCTCAAATCTTAAAAAAAAAAAAAAGAACAGCTGGGTTGCTGTGGTTGCCTGTAATCCCAACAATTTGGAGGCTGAAACAGGAGGATTGCAAGTTGAAGACCAGTCTTAGCAATTTAGTAAGGCCCTAAGTGAGACCCTGTATCAAAATTTAAAAAACGGGGTGGGGATGTGGCTCAGTGGTAAAGTGCACCTGGGTTCAATTCCCAGTACCAATTTAAAAAAAAAAAACATAGTGCACTGCTTTCTAAATCAAATATTTAGCCCAACCCAGTGGCACATAACTGTAATCCCAGTGGTTTGGGAGGCTGAGGCAGAAGGATTGCAAGTTCAAAACCAGCCTTAGCAATTTAGCAAGGCCCTAAACAACTTTGCCAGGTGTTATTTTTGACTTGTTTACAGACTCTAACACAACTTAGTAAGACCTTGTCTCAAAAGAAAAAGTAAAAAGTTCTTGGGATGTAGCTCAGTGGTTAAGCACCCCTGGGTTTAATCACTGGTACTAAAAAAAAAATTTACCCACTTATTCTAGTTTTTATAGTACGAGTATGTGTTCTTGTATTGAATTTTGATTCTTTAAAAAGTATATTAAGGCAAGAAAGAATGTTGAATGTTATTTAGGCCAGAAATATTTTACACATAGCTTCTAAGAAAGTCTTATATTTCTATTCCTGAATGAGGATTTGTTTTTCCTTAATTTTAAGCAACAACTTGGCATTTGCTATAGGGACACAAAATATAGGATATTTCTGGCTTCAAAGAATGCATTATCCATTCAACAAATACGTACCAAACATCTTTTGGTACATAATTTATATGCCAAATACTATTCTAGAAGCTAGGGAAATATCAATGAACAAAACCAAGTTCCTTCCTCTCATGAAATATATAATCTGGTAGGGATAATACAGTATTTGATTTATATAAACAATTATATGGTTTAATGTGTGGGGGGGTGGGGGGGGTGGGGGGTGTTTAACACTAAGGAAGTTCATTAGTAATTGCCCAGTTAATAAATGGTACAGTTTTTTGTTTTGGTTTGGTTTTTGTGGTACTCAGAATTGAACTCGGGGGCACTCGACCACTGAACCACATCCCCAGCCCTATTTTGTATTTTATTTAGAGACAGGGTCTCAGTTGCTTAGTGGCTTGCTTTTGCTGATACTGGCTTTGAGCTCAAGATTCTCCTGTCTCAGCCTCACAAACCACTGGGATTATAGGGGTGCACAACCACGCCCAGTTCCAATAAATAGCACAGATACTTTAAAATCTGTTATCCAAGATGGCATGGTAGTGCACACTTGTAATCCCAGGTATCTAAAGACTAAGGCAAGAGGATTACAAGTTCAAGTCAAGCCTGGGCAATTTAGCAAGACCCTGTCTCACAATAAAAAAGGGTTGGGGATTCCACTCAGTGGTAGAGCACCCCTGGGTTCAATCCCCAGTACTAAATATATAAATAAGTAAGGACATAAATGTGTTGTGTGTGTGTGTATACACACATACATACATACATACATATTCCATAGGAAACAAAAAAATCACTTTATAACAGAAAGGTATTGTTATCAGTGTTCTTGTAATTTCATCTTCTGGTTCTAGGATTGTAGGTCAATGGGAAAGCACTTACCTAGCGTTAAGGGAGACCCTGGATTTGATCCCCAGTACCCCAAAAGAAAGAAAGTATGTCTTTTTTGTCCTCTCCAAGTGGAAGTATGACTTAAGGTGGCCAAAAATGATGACTTAGGTTTCATATGGGAAAAGCATTAGAAACTGTAACCATATGCTAAGGAAATGAGAATTGGCAGGTATGGCCTTTTGTAGCCAGTAACGCAGTGGCCCTTCCAAGGACACCAACATGTAATATACCCTCCAACTGATGAAAGAAGGAAGAATTGGATAATAAATTAGTCTTGTTTCATCTGTTTTACTAAAAACTCCGAAAACA